ATTATTTTACCATTTTGTCTATGAAATGTTTGATGTCATTTAAGACATTAGAAGAGTAAAATGATTAGGTGAGGGAATCTATTACATAAATCAAAACTTCAAGAAAGGTAAGCAAGATTTATCCAATATATAAACACACCTATATATATATATATATTATCTTATCCCACTACATAAAGGTGATCCATTTTATTTTTGACAAAATAGAATACTTCCGAACACTTTAGAGAGCCGATTGATTGAATATTCAGGGGTGCTATCAGAAAAAGGTACACCTCCGTTCATTCAAAATAGATCTCATTTTAATGTATTCAAGAATTTTGAGATTATAAATCATTATTAATACAATTTTAGCTGTTCCAACTGTTATTTTTAGCTGGGATTCTTTTGTAAAACACCTCTAATTAAACAGAAGACATTTGACAATCTTGACATTGACTGTCAATGACACAATTCTTAAAAAGGTTGAAAGCCCTTGACAATGGAAGAAAGCTGCAACCATTTATCAAGGTAGCAAAGGCTGTTTTTACAATAATTGCTGGTGTGAATAATTAATTGTTTGAATTTTTTGGAATAAAAAAAAAAAAAATACCAAAAATTATTTTTTTCCATTATTTCTAGTGTAGTACATTCTATATATGATTAAAGTCATAGTTTACTTGAACACTCCAGAAAGAAATGTCCTGGTGTATGGATGGACAATTCATTGGGAGAAGGGTTTTGCATAAAGGTTTACACTAGTGTTAAAATAAAGTTGATGTCACATAAAACTTTAACACAAGTGTTAAAAATAAAGTTTATGTCACAGAACTAGATGGATGTATTATTAATATAGTTTTATATGCAGTATAGTTTATTCAAAGGGTAGCTTTGTTTGTTTGTTTGTAGATGTAATCACATGGGTTCTTCTGCAAATACACACTCTCTCTCTATATATACATGTATGTATGTATATATATAATATATGTATAGGTTGAGGTTGAGGTTGTGGCTTTAGTTTTTGCTAGAATCTCTGGTTTTGTCAGCCTTTTCCTTCTCGATGTTGGAGGTACGGTCGACAGTATTATTAGCAAATGACGAATTTTTCTCTTCTGCTTAAAAGTTTTTTGATAGTAGCTCTTCGATCTTCATACTTCAAAATCGTACATGCCACTTTCTACTATTAATTAATTAATTAATTGATTGATTAGAGAATTGGTTATGCAGAGCAAAATGTTTTCATTGTGTTTGTCCTTTATTCCATTGCAAAACAGAGTCAACTAAACTAATCAACTTGTTACGAGTGCATTTTTGTTTTTTTAATAATGAAATCTCACTATGCATGTTACTCTAATCCATTGCTTTGTGTTTGGTCCAATTTGAGTCTAACATTAAATTATGTACTATTGTTTTGGATTTGAGTTTGGATTAATTATCCTAAGATTGATTAAGAATATGAGCATATATATATATATATATATATATATATATTGTTACAACAAACTCACAATTTCAGTCACATGAAGTCGGAGTGGGTGTAAAAGTAAATTCGAGAGCTATAGTTTGAAATTGACAAAAAATGAATCATACAAAATAAGAATGAAAATAAGAGCATGTGCGAAGCATAAGAGCGAATCATACAAAGTGCAAAACACAAATACAATCAAGAATTGATAGAAAACGAAAATCAAACACTACCCACAAGTGCAAAAATTTAATGTGATTCTACCTATATCCGACATCACAGACAAATTTTTTTTTCTTTGCGTGAATAAGAACAAAGATTACATGAATGAACTCTAGTAAATCATTTATATCTTTCTCACTCTCTGTGATGGTTTTTTTTTGTGTTATCTCATAACCATACAAATTCTAACACATTGACAATAGAGACTAATGCTCTGTTTGGTATGAAGAAAGAAAATTAGATACAAGGGAGAAAAGAAAAGATAAATGAGACATACATATGGAAGAGATTGTGTTATTCCTTCTTGTTGTTTGGTTGAATGGAAGAAAAGAGAATGAGATAATACATTATTTTGTTTGGTAGGAAGAAAGAAAATTAGAAACATTTATCAAGAAAGTTTTGTAAAATAAAAACTTTTACAAAAGTCTTGCATTTTTTTTTCCTCGGGTCTTCTATTCATTTTTGGAGGGATAAAAACTTGTAAATGAGGAAGGATAACTCATCTATTTTATTGTCTCTTCTCTCCTTACCACTTCTCTACAAAACAAAGGAAATTTATTTCTTCCTTCCTATCTTCCCTCTACCCCTCTTCCTTCCTACTTACCAAACAGGGCATAAAATTTGAATCCGATAATTACAAGACAAAAAAAAAAAAAAAAGGAGGTCAAAATCATATTGCAATGTGATCAATGATTAAAGCAAAAGAAAAATGATAAAAGCAACAAATTGGTATTATCATCTATTAATGTGTCCATTATTGGTTTGTACACTTTAAAGGGAGACGGACCTATATTGAACTCTAAGATTGAAATAGCAACAAAAAAAAAAAAAAAAAAAAAATTGATTGTCAAATTTACTAGTATTCTAAACAAAATTCCTGCCATAACTCAAAATAAATATATGGGTAAAGTACAATGATACCCCCTGAAATTTGGGGTAAGGATAGACAGATACAAGTTGGTCTATTTTTGGACAATGACACCCCCTTAAATTTGATAAAGGACAAACACAATGAAAACATTTAAACAATACAATCATTTTCAATTGACTAACATACCCTTGGATCAAATAGGTGTAAATGGGTTGCCAGGTACAACCATTTTTCCTCTCTCCTCACTCTATTCTTCTCTTCCCCTCTCAAACCCTAATCCTAACCCAAACAGAGCCATCACTGCTTCTCTTTCAAACCCACCATCATCTCCATCCCCAAAACCACCGACTACTATGTATTCATTACCGCCGCCACCACAACGATACGGGAGCCGGCGCCACGACAATAATGAGACGGCGGTAACAAAGACCTCTGAAGAACCCACAGGTAAGGAGGAAGGATGTGCTCGATCGACGACGATCAAGAAGGATAACACGAGACGACGATAATTGGTCAGCGAATTTCTGAGGGATCTTTGGGGTTTGGTCACAAGCAAGGGTTAGACGTGGAGATTGACGAACTGAGATGGGTCGCCAGAACTGAAACTAAGGATTTGTTCGGTACTTTGGCAACGCGTGAGGGTTTCTATTTGCAAGGTGTGCGGGGTCGGAGGCTTTTTAGGTTCGACAATTGATAGCAGTAGAGGAGGCCGTTGATGATGGCGTTGGCGTCATATCGATGTCTTTCGATGGCGGGATGGGTTTTAATTGTCACCTTCGCCGCCGAACCACATCTCCACAACAAAAACCACCGCCAGCAAAATTAATAACACTACCACCATCCCCGTCACATAACCACCACTAGCAGACGTCACCATCGCCATCACCATTCCCTACCACACAACAACCACAACCATCATCCCTATCAACAATCGCTATCCCAATAGTAGGGGTGGCAAATTACAATACGACATGACAACACGACACAAGTTAAAAGGGTTTAGGTTTGGCATAAACGAGTTTGGGTCATAAAAGGGTCGACACAATTAACCCGTTTACTTAATCGTGTCGGGTTAGGGTTGAGTGGTTCAACCCATGTAACCTATTTATGATCCATTTAACTCAACATGTTATAATCGTAAATATGACCCATGTGATATGTTACATGTTTAAACCCAATTACTATGGTTAATTAAGTCATTTCAACATAAACTTTGTGTATGCGTTATGATTTTTCTTTTTATTTTGAATATTTGGGTTACTTATGATAATTTTTTTCCCTATTATTTAGTATTTGATTAAATATTAAATATCTCGTTTTGATAAACAGGTCATTAAACGGGTTAACACGTTTACCTGTTTAATAAACGGGTTGGGTTAGTGTTGAGAATTCTTGACACGATTATTAAATGGGTTAGGTTTGGGTTTACCTATTTAGTATAATACTCTTACATTGACACAACACGAATACGACCCACGAACACGAATTGCCACCCCTACCTAATAGTTGACAACCACCGCCGCCATCCCCATAGTCGATAACCATCGCCACCATCCCATAAGAGACAACTGCCGCCACCATCCCCATAGTTACGGTGATTTAAAGCAGAGAGAGAAAATGTTGAGAGAGAGAGAGGCGATCGGGTTTTTGGAGTTCAAATGGTAGTGCTCTAAGATTACATTAGTGCCTATAGGTTTTATGATGTGGCATAGTCTAGTGTGGTTATTTTTGTCCAAACAAATATGGGTATATTATATATATATATATATAGAGAGAGAGAGAGAGAGAGAGAGAGAGAGAGAGAGGGGAAAAGGGTAATTCGGTCCTTTATTTATTTTAATATTTTACCATTAAAATTAATTAAATAATGAAGGGTAAAGTAGACTTTTCACATATTTTTAGGCTCTGTTTAGATTGCAAATCTCATCAGAAATGTCATTGTTCAAAAATAGACCAACTTGTATATAATTGTTCTTACCTCAAACCTTATAAATGTCATTATACTTTACCCTAAATATATTATAGTCCATTACCCATGAACTATTGAAGTCCCAGTGGGGGAATTTGGCAATTAAAACAAAATTGGCAGTACCTAAACTCGAGTATAAAAAAAATAAATTGGACAAATGTGTCTGCGTAGTGGCGAGTATACCCTTGTTCACTCGTGCAAATGTGTTTTTTTTCCCAACTGTTCAACAAAAATCATGATTTTAATAATCATTCCTCTTTTTAATACTAAAATTCAATCCAATTTCACGTGCAATGGCCTGTAGACTTCATTACTTAATGCCTTTAAAAACCCACATACTTCACCCAAAAATATGGTGGGGTTGCTACAAGACTGACTTCATATGTGTTGCCTCTAGAAACAGAGTTCTCAATTTCTAGAGAGAGAAACAAGAGAGAGAGAGAGAGAGGGGGGGAGGAGGAGGAGGAGGAGGAGGGGGAGGGAGAGGGGGAGAGAAGATCAAATGGCTCTTGAAGCTGTGGTATATCCACAAGACTTCTTTGGTTATAGTGGCAAAGAAATGTACAATTTGTTAGGAGGGAATTGGAGCTGTGATGGCTTTGGTGGTGTGGAAGAAAGAGAGGAAGAGAAAGTGGTCCCCTTTGATCATTTTCCTCAGAACCAAACGGAAAATTACTACTATGATGCAAATTGGGTTCCTACACATCCATCAATGGTGCCACATTTGGAGTTGTCACACATGGGTTCTATGGTAATTTCCGAGGAGTTCCCACAATTGGACGCCTCTGCCTCTGCCTCTGGTTCACCACCAACCGTGCCAGCTCCTCCGACTAGGATACGACGTCGTTCCAAGAGCAGAAAGAACCAGGAAGAGATTGAGAACCAGAGAATGACCCACATTGCCGTTGAGCGTAATCGGAGGAAACAAATGAACGAGTACCTAGGCGTCCTCCGTTCACTCATGCCGGATTCTTACGTACCAAGAGTACCTCTCTCTCTCTCTCTCTCTCTCTCTCTCTCTATAAATATATATATACACACACACACATATAAATACATATTTGTGTGTATATTCTTAGTACAATATACAAGCTTAGCTTGTTTTCTAGCAATGTTTTGGTAGTGTTGGACTACTTATTATGTAAATTTAATTAGTTATTATGTATACATATACATAATTTAATTTGTACTATAAAAACACACAAATTCATTCTTCTTAATTAGCTAGTAAAATGCTCTGCAAGTTTGATTTTTCGTAATTGTTTCAATTTGATCAGGATGATCAAGCATCAATCACTGGTGGTGCCATTAATTATGTTAAGCAGCTTGAGCAATGCCTACAAACACTTTAGCCAGGCCACAAGCACAACATATACAGACATATACATATACATATGTTGTATTATACACCTATGTATAATTAATATATATATATATATATATATATATATAGAATACAATATAGAAGCATAGCTTGTATTCTGATTTGGTCATTTTAAACTATAAATGCGTATATATATAGTTAATCAGTCGCTATCATTTTAGACTAAAAGTATAAGCTACACCAGATCGTGTGAAAAGTGCTCATGACCTTGTATAATTTGGTAGCAATATTTTAATCATATTTACTCTAACAGTTAAAACTATTTAGAAAAAAAATTTAATTTCAGGGTTTTTAAAAAAAAAATAAATAAATAAAAATGTACTTCTATATAAAAAAAAGCGTATTCATAAAAATATGTGAAAAAAAGAAGGGATATTGGGTAGCGCTAAAGGTCTTTTTAGTGGGGGAAATATCTTTCTACTGATTTATTTATTTATTTATTTTTAGGCATACAAATAAGTAATTAAATGTTGGAATAATGTGAATCAACTTGACTAAATTTTTTTGGCTAATTTCACTTAAAAAAAAAAAAAAGGCACATAGATCTGTATGATTCAAATGTATGTACTACTAATACAATACACAAGTTTGTAATCGAATTCTTTTTACCGTAAAAAAAAAAGAAGAAAAAAAATAGGTGTAATTGTTTTTGAATTGCTTTGATCATGTTGGGCTGTTGTGATTTTGATCAGGGTGATCAAGCATCGATCATTGGTGGTGCCATTAACTACGTTAAGGAGCTGGAGCAACGCCTACAATGCCTTGTAGGCCACAAGCACATGAACCACAACTTCGAGGCTACTTCTTCTTCTCCTCCTCCTCCTTTTGCTGATTTCTTCACATTCCCACAGTACTCCACCACCGGGACGTGTGAAAATCCGGTGACAGCGAATGATCTGACGGCTGAGAACCGGTCTGCCATAGCTGACATTGAAGTGACAATGGTGGAGACTCATGCCAACCTGAAAATAAGGTCGAAGAGGCGACCGAAGCAGCTCTTGAAGGTTGTGTCTGGGCTGCAAAGCCTCAGGCTCACTATCCTTCATCTTAATGTCACAACTGTTGGTCAAATTGTCCTCTATTGTTTCAGTGTCAAGGTTAGTTCATTTTACTGTTATGACAGTTATATATATACATTATTTGCCTAGCTAATGTCCATTTAAGAATATATATATATATATATATATATATATATATATATATATATATATATATATGTATATATGAAGCCTAGTAAGGATTTAGAATTTATTTTGATGATTTGCAGGTAGAAGATGACTGCAAGCTGATTTCAGTGGGAGAAATAGCCACTGCTGTGAATGAGATGCTAGGTAGGATTCAGGAAGAGGCTCTCTTGATTTAGAAAAACCCTAATTTGCCCTATTGTAATTGGAACTTTTTTTTTTTTTGACCATCATTTAGCATATATATGTGACATATGGTCAATCTTTTCTCTTGATTTTTATGATCACTGTACTTTGGAAATTGCTTATTGCAACCAATGTCTCCACCATTAATTATGTCTTCCAGGGTTGTGTCACATTATTTTGGTGAATGTTCTATATATTGAAGCACTACTTGGTTGTTGTAGTGCTTAGGTTGTCAACCATATTAATTGAGAAATTTTAAAAATCAATTTTATATATAAAAAAAGTCACTTAGCATGAGATAAAAATTAAAAGAAAAGAAAAAAAAGATAAGCACAAAAATTCTCTTCCAAATTTAATTAATTCTTTTTTAAAACAAGAAAGTGATAAATTGTAGAATCGAGTCCGAATTCTGAAACAGAATCTCTTATTCTATTTCAGAGTTTCGGACTCCGTATCGCTATTCTCTAAAATACTCACCCATACTCAGACTTGATTCTTTTAATAAATAAAATTTAGTCTCTTTTTTTTTTTTTTTTTTTTTAAGCAAGTGTAGTGTGAAGGTATTTTTGTTCAAGTGGAATATCAATCTCTTTCACAAAATAATACAGAGTAGTATTATTTCTCTTTCATCCCCGTGGTTTAAAATTGAAGTGAAGGTCAACTAAAAAAGATTTCTCATTTCTTCATGATTGCCATGCACAAGCTTACTGTTAAAATCAAGATTTTATTCTTAGAAAAAGCTTGAAGAAGAGCTATCAAAACCCACATAAGAAAGATAAAAAAGTAGTACACAAGAGAGAAGGCTGCAATGAACAGCTTTAGAAGATGTATCACTTGAGCTTTTTCTGTATGGCTAGCTGTATATATATATCTATATCTATCTGTATATCTTTCATATATACTAGTATATAGTAGTAGTACATTTAAAAACAAAGGTACTATTTTATCACGATCTACAAGACCAAATTAAACAAGCCAAAAACAAGATCTGATTATTGTGGTTTCAAAATTATTCTGTACCTAGAATAGAAATGCATGATGGATTATTTTAATAAATGGAATATATTCAAATCAAAATAATGTAAATTTTGGAGACAAAGGAGGGCCCATGAAGTTGTACAACATTTGGGCTCGCATCCCTATAGGTGGAATATGCTAGGTTGGTGTGTGACATTTTGAGTGAATTAAAGTGAGAATGTGCATGTAATAATTTTATTGTAAAAGTATGAGATAAAATATTGTTGGAAGAGACATTTGGGCAATTACCATGTTTGGAATGTTTTGAATAAGGGCATGTGACTAGTTGATATTGAATTTCTAGGTTTATGGATTATTTAGAAAAATGAAATCATGAGGTTAATTGAGACAAAGTCACTGTACCTGAAAGAATGGAAGTGAAATAAAGGGGATGTCTCTAATTTGTTTATATATATATATATAACTTTAAACTAAGATAAATGTTGTGTGGTAGGAGATAATTAGATCACACCACTTTATAATACATATATATGTGTGTGTATCTCAAGCTCAACAATATATGTCTGTGGAGTACTATAAATTTTTTTTACTTGACATTCACATGGACTGTAGAATGGTCCAAGCCTCCAATAGCTGGAAAGAAAATTTGTATCCATTGGTACGTAAAGGAACTCTAGGGTGTTTGAGACATGCAGAAGATTCCAACCCTAGAATTCTCTCTTTTTATATAATCTGTTTTACCTTGTTGTTTTTTAGTTGGGATTGAAAGATTCCTCTCTCTCTCTCTATATATATATATGTATATGTATATATATTATTAATTAATGGTGTTAATTTGTTGAATAAGTTAGCATCAAAAGCTCATATTTTAAGTTAATCTAACAAAAATGGTTTGGGATTGTTGAATCTCAAAAGGAGGAGAAGAATACAAAAAGAAAACACTAAAATAGGGTTAGGTTGAATAGAATATAACCAAACAAGCAGTGAAGAATTAGCAGAAGACAATGACTTCCTTTGCTCAAACTGAGTAAAGAACAATGAATCCACAAATAAGAGAGTGACATTCATGATATATATCCCCAAAAAAAATATAAATTAAAATAAAAATGAAAAAGCAAAGATTGAGCTCAAGGAATTGAATAACACTACATGATAGGGTCCAATAGCAAATAGGAAATTTTTTTATTGATTGTATTATTTTCATATATAATCATACAATCTGCACAGTAATTTAAAAGATATTTCTCACAACGAATATGTTACACATTTACGGCGTTTATTGTTGTCCATAAAAATATAAGAGTTAGTTTTTGCAATTTCTTAATAAACAACATGCTCTTGGAATGAACAAGAAAATCTTGCTATTTTTTTATTTTTTATTTTGTCAACAGTGTAATCTCCTCCTTACTGTTGATATAGCATGATAATCACGTTTTGGTCTTGCAAAAATATATAAATAAACTTATATTATCATAAGAATCACTAGACTAAACTAATATATATATATATATAAAACAATACTTGGCACCTCACGAATGAGAAAGGAAAAGAAAAATGTGTCTAATACTACTACTATTAGACCATGTGCCTTTTTATAATATTAAAAAAAAAGTCAAAAAAGAAAAATAATTTACTTCGTCGTGGATCCAACTAGTGCCAAGTGGCATGATATGATCCAATCATATCATTCCATATTGGCGAGAAGGAGTTGCTTCTAACATGCAACACTTGATTGATTTGAATGATAGAGATTTAGAATTTTCAATAGCCTTTTGATTTGTTACTCTTAAAACAATCTTTAAAAATTTTAAAAATTAATGCAATGAATTATTTATAGATCTAGTACAAGTTATATAACACTTGATTGATTTGACTAATAGAGATTTAAAAGTTTCAATAATCTTCTTGATACGATACTTTTTAATAATAAAAATTATTTTTAGAGAATTATAAAAAATATTTTTATAAAAATATGTATTTTATAATTAATTTATTTAAAAATAATTTTTAAAAGATCGCACCGAGTAGAAAATGTTTGTACAATTTTTTAACATAAAAAATTATTTTCATAATTACAAGCTAGGGAAACTTTATATTCTCACTCCATCGAGTTAGTTTGGGTTGGGCCATAGCAGATTTCAATTATTAGGCCTAACGGAAGGTGGATTTGAGGCCCAACAGAGTAACCATTGTTCTCGGTTGGAAAATCACTAGAATAGAACCATGAAAATTTTATTTAAAATATAAATATTTTACAAATGGATAAATTTATTTTATGGCCATTTGAAACTCCATCAAAGTTAAATCATGCCATTAAATAAGATTACTCCAATAAATAATATCAAAATCTGATTCAATGAGGTGAGAATTAACTAAACCCTATTGACTATAAAATAAAATAAAATAAAATAAAATTTCAATGAAACTTAAGGTTTGTTTAGTTTAATTTTAAAGAAATATTTTTAAGGAATTCATTTATATTTTAGAAAAGAAAAAGGGCAAAAAAATAAAATAATAGGAGGGCATATACATGTACGCTTAAATAGATGGCGGCAACTTTCAAATGGCAAAAAAGAGATTCAGACCTCTTAATTCTAGAGAGAGAATAGATCACGGCCATTGCATCTGCATTCAACCCCTCGATCCTGAAACTTTCAATTTCAAGGTTCTCTTTCTCTACAATCTCTTGTTTATATATAAACATATATGCGTGTATGTGTGTGTATATATATGTATGTATGTATCTGTGTAGATCGCATTGAAATTTATGCAAAATTGATTTTTATAGTCGATGCAGAAACTTTCAATTTCAAGGTTTCATTTCTCTACAATCTATTGTTTATATGTATATATATGTGTAGGTATGTATCTACCGAAGACATAATTGCAAAGTTGGTTTTTGTAGTGATTTCGTTGATGTGTGGTAGGATGAGAAGGAAGAGGAGTTTACATTCAGCTTTAATAGGGCGTTCTATCAGGAATCAGAGCGAGTCGATGTCTATGAATTTCTTGCTCGGTCGATTGTTCGAGGTATTATCACAATTCACAATATATTCGCATTGTTTTTATCATTTTTTGATCTGAATTTATGTGTGATTTTGAATTGAAGTCCTTTGATTAAGCATTTTGAATTTGAATTGGCTAAATCTTAACATATGTTTTTGTTTGAACTTGTTTATTTTAATAAAACAGACGCTGTTATTGAAATAATTTTTGAAATGAATTCCTTTGATTTTCTGATTTGGATTTCAGTTGGTTAGATCTTAACATATGCTTTTGTTTTTGTTTGAATTTGTTTATTTGAATAAAACAGTTGCTGTTAATGGAATAAATGGGACAGTCATCACATACGGACAGGTTAGATATACTTAATCATGTAAAGTGTGTCTAATAATGCTTTTTGGTATGTGTTAGCTTTTCTTTGAAGTTTTTGTTTATGTTGTATTACATACTCGTTGATGGAGTAAGATATATATGACTTTGATCGAATCATTGCACTATAGACATAAATCTCTACATGAATGTAATGTTAAGAATTTGAAACAAATTATGATGACTAAATGTGTCAAATTGGTCAGAGGTTGCACTTTCTCATTAGACTGTGCTTACACAGAATCCACAACTGTTCAAAACTCAGTGTTGAAAGATAGATGTTATTTGCCATGGATGAGAGGTTTTTTGTTTTGTTTTTTTTTTTGGGGCTTCATATTAGTTTGGGCCAAGTTTGTGATTCCTTTAAAATTTAAAAGCTCAATAATGTTTTACATACCACTTGAAGGTAAATATCCATGGTTGCGGATGGGTATTGAAGGAAATGGAAGCCACTACCACAAGTGACGGTATGGGATACTCTTCTAAGATTTCATCATCATCTTGTGAGATGGCTGCCATTTTTTAGGGATGTTTTACTACATTCTTAAGATTCAAGAGATTAACATTAACAATGTATGAATTTTATGTGGGAATTCCATTTCTTGTTGAATCATCGATGGGGTGTTTTGCCAGTAGGAATCTCAAAGAAATAAACAGGCACATTGAGGCATCTAAATTAGAAGTGCATTTCATTTCCTGTCAAGGCATTTGGCAGGAAGACACTCCACTATACTGTAATAGTTGTAAGAGTACAAAATTCCCGTCCAATGACTGACCAATACTGGATTAAACTTTAAAATGTATTTACCTAGAAGCTTCTTCTGTGCAATCAACATGTATTAGGCTTTGATAATATTCAAGACAATGCTATTCTTCTATATTGATTTGACACAAAAGCCATCCCACTTAGGTGGGAAGTGCACCTTCTGTACTAAATCATACAACAATGGTGATTTTGTTTGAAATGAAGAAAAGTGATGAACTCTATGTCAGTTGGTAGGGACCATTCGTGAGTAAAGTTGGATTTTACAGCAATGCCTTTGAATCAACTCATTTTCGAACTGAGGTGTTAAGACAGAAACCAAATATGCATTATTTCCTGAGTTCCTTTTATAGAAATCTCAAGGACATCCACTGATATTTTATGTCAATTGACAAACTTTCCATGTGCATTCTGCAACAGACAGGAGCAGGGAAGAGTGAAGACATACAGCATGGAGGTGATATACTAATATGATAATTCTCTTCCATATATGATGGTTACATATATCAGATTAGGCTCACACATAACCTTTTTGGCTCAGGGACCTGGCATCCTATGTTTTGAGGAGCAGAAGAAAGGATTACTCCCGAGAGTAGTGGATCGGCTTTTTGAGGCTACTAAAGTTTCCGAAGAAACATCCAAATACGTTATCAAATTGTCCATGGTATTCGAAAATTCTGTTTATCTTTGCGCTGGAGACTAATATAGGCTAGAAACCAGTGTTAATTACACCCTGTAATTGTTAAATCTTCTTTGTGATTCATATAGGTAGAGATCTATATGGAGAAAGTAAGGTTTGTATCACCTGATGAGGTATTTATTTTCTATAATGTGATTATCCTCCAGAGGTCAATTCTCTGCAGATTAGCTAACCTATGATGTAGAAATTAAATTTAAGGAGCTTCTGGAACGTCATATATTCTTTCTAGGAATCATTTTAATCATGTTATAGTTCCTTTCTTTCAGGGACCTTTTTGATTTATCAAAAGACAACATACAGATTAAGGAGAGGAAAATGCAAGGAATATTGTTGTCCAGAGTGACAGAGGTGAGGCTTTCTTTTCTTTCCTTTTTCCCTTTATAAAGTCTTTATGCTTAATTTTAGTTTTAATAATAAAATATGCCAGTAATTATAGTATATCTGTTCTTTTGTTGCTTTTCCGTTTTCACATAGATCACCGACTCACCTAGCTTGGGTGATAAAATTTGTTGAGGATTGTACCAGATCCTAGTTTTGAGCCTTTCCTTTTGAGTGCTTCTTTTCAGGGACTAAACATACAAGCACACACTGAAAGAAAGAAATGTAGCTCTTCTTTTTTCATTTATCCATTCTAAATTCATTCATGGGGAGGATGACTTGATCACCAATGCAATTGGGGACCGTCTTTTTCCAAAGTTAATTTATTATTGGTAAACTCTACCATCATGATATTTGGTGACAAAAGCCAAATCGTCTAATAAAATTTTGACTGGGATGCTTGCATAAAGTTGGAGTAAAATTCTTTTTGACATCTTTACAGAATTTTAGCTTCGATGAATATTCTTCTGTGCTTTCTCACATCCAAAAGTCTACAACCTTTTTCTTCCCACCCCAGATTTGTGTATTGGACCCTGCAGAAGCATTAAAAAGCCTATCTGTAAGATAACTTCTTGAGAAGGTCACTTAGTTTTATTTACATAGTTCAGCTTCTTAGATAAACATTGACAATGGAGAGTGGAATAGCTAACAGAGAAGTTGGAGAGATCCGTATCCTTCATTGGATTTGTGTCTTTACTTCATCTGTATTCCTCAATTTTACAAAATACTATTGGCCATTAGTTTTCAAATTTTGTCTAAACTTGAACATAAATAGAAATGAATATGGCCAGCAGTAGAAGTCATTGGGTGTACATATTCACAGTTCAGCAGGATTTAACAACTGATTATAGGTACTCTTTTATCCTTAGATTAGTGGTATGGATTTGGATGACATAGGCTAAAAATTTGTTGGAAGTGTGAACCGGGTGAAAGTTGGTAAGTTGATTCTTGTGGATTTGGCGGGGTCTGAGAAAGTAGAGAAAACAGGAGCTGAATGGAGAGTTCTTGAAGAAGCCAAGTCTATCATTAACTCACTTTCAGCCCTCAGGAATGTAATAAATGCTTTGAGCTGTGGTACACCAGGCAAAGCAAATCACATTCCAGATCGTGATTCTAAGCTCACTCGCATTCTACAAGATGCTCTTGTTAGTTTCCTTCCCCTTTGTCTCTCTCACTGGCTCACTTTTGATTTGTATATACTCACCGGGTCTCATCTTACATGGAGGGAACTCCCAAACTGCATTATTGAGTTGTTGCTCTCCAGGCTCTTCAAATGCATCAGAAAGCCTATCCACTATTCGCTTTGGTGCAAGGTGTCATTCGAAATCTGCTATATATTTATACTGTTTCAGTTATTTGCAAGATAACATTGAAAAGAGTTGGATTTCTTTCCTTTAAATAACTGCAGAAATCCTATTAAACTCTTTCTGAGGTTGATTCACCCAAGACCAGAAGTCACTTTGAAATTAAACTTTCACTTCACTATCCAGGTCCTTTAATAGAAAAGATAATCCCTTTGAATGGTTTACCCTTGAATAAACTCACCAACCTAATAGTAGACAAAGAAATATAATCTATTATATAACCAAATTCGACGAGAATAAAGTCATACTAGTGATGTTTAGCGTTTTGAAATTAAGATTTGGCAGCAAGAAGTTAAAGGAGATCTATGAACATCTCAAATTCTATTGTTCTCTTTAGTGTCCAAAAATTTTCCACATCATATTTTTCAGTAAAAGTTCTCCATGTAGGAATGAAACAGTGAGGAATTATTTGTTCACCATTTGGGAGGGCGAAGCATATAAAGGCATCACCTCATGTCAATTGCGAGGAACATAAATGCACCAAGATACAAGGAGTGCCCTCTCCGACTAAAGATTAGTCTTGTGAGAGAAATTTATACAAGATTAGATAAAAGTTGTGAAATTCTAGCTATGACATATGTGTTTGTCTCTAAGCACTCTACTTTTAATTACACCGCTGAGGGAGAAAGTGGATGTTGAAGATGTGAAGTTTCTTGAGGAATTGTTTATATTGGAGGGCATTTTCTTTGATCCCAGTTCAGTGAAAGACCTTGGAATCGGCTTACGAAGATGTTACACTGCGAACCCCCGCCGCGATTGAATGAGAATGGATAAGAGGCTCGTGGGATTGACGTGAGGGGGCAGGGATGGCTATATTTCTGGGAGTGAACTCCGGGCGAATATGAAGCGTATGGATACAAGTTATGCCTTGGAATGAAAGACAATTCCGAATCCGCTTTGTCTACGAACAAGGAAGCTATAAGTAATGCAACTATGAATCTCATGGAGAGTTCGATCCTGGCTTAGGAACAATTTCCTCATTGCAACAAGCCGTGGAAGAGCTTGTTGTTACTGTTGAAGAGTTAAGTGGATAAAAGTAACGTGCTTGGGAGCAATTATTTGGAATTAGTACTTGCAAATACCACTAGACTGATAATTGGTGGTTTCTCTCATCTCTCCAAAAAAAAAGAAATATAAAATATAGTAAAAGGAACAAAATGGAAGCTGAAACATATTCTTGTAGTAGTGAATTTTAATCTTAAACCCGGTGACTTACCCCAAGGCCATTTTCAACCTGTTTCTCTAACGGAACGCTGGAAGTAGTCCAAATTTTTTTTATCTTAGAACATAATGTAGAAGTTTTTTTCTTGCTTTCACAATGAGTAGAAATTTAAAATAGGAGGATTGAGACCTCATTTCTATCCAATTAATGCGTTCTGAAGTGTGGAGACAGCAAAGAAGCTGGAGAAAATATATTCTTCATGCATGGGATTTTAGAGATTGGTTTCCTCATGCCCCGGGTTAGATCATTTTTCATGTCAAATGGGTGAAAAGCAAACTGCTCTGTTGTTCTTCGTAGTGCAGGATTGCAGCCAAAAATGTGATTAATTCACTGTTCAAGTACAAGAATTTCGTTCTGTAGTTCATAAATTCTATTCAAATCTACATGACTGGATGGTTCAAGCAATTGCAGAAGAGTTGCATTGTTTTGCATGGTTAAAGGAAAAAAAAATGAATAAAACTAAATTAAATGATATATAAATTCTGTATGTAATGTGAGATATATAAGGACTGAGAGATTATTTTTAATACCTTATTATTCAAAAGGTGGCTCCTAAAAGCAAGAGTCATGACTCTTCAAAGGTGACTTTTGTAGTATCAAAAAAAAAAAGGTGACTTTTGGAAACTAATAGTCACACCCAAAAGTTGTATATCATGGAAATCGAAAAGTTGTATTAAATGTTGCAACCTTTCATTGTTTATAAATAAATACTTGTTTTTTGAAATCTCTAATTCAATTCTCTCTTTTACCATCGCTCTCTGAGTCAAAAAAAGTATAAATCATGGACTCTTCCGTTCATGTGATCTTGTTGCTTCCAGGAGATGTTTTGTTTAGAAGCTGTTAGCAATAGCAATTTCAGTTTGAGGTGTTCTTGTTCTTCCTCTCTTTTCTATTGCAGGTAACATGGCTCAGGAAAGATTGCGCTCTCCTCCTACCATTAAAACTAATGAGCAGCTCCAGGCAGAGATTGATGAGGTCTGTGAAATCTTTTATAAACTGAAAGTTCCTCGTGGCTGCTTCACTGTTGCTTCTGTTCTCGATTTTGGTCTCACCACCTTGGCATTTGTCAAGAGGATCCGCCCCTTCGTCGGAAACCACGATGAGGTTACCATGAATCATTTGCTTGCTGAGGCTGTGCGGTCTAATTTGATTCCTTCTGACCACACAACAATGACTACAGCACATCTTTGGAACAGTCAAAACTACTTCAAGACTGAGGCTGGCCGTGCGGCCATGGAAAGGATTTTCCGGGACAGACGACTTGAAGCACGTTGTGTCAGAAACTTGACTTTGAACGATGTCAAACTCTCTCTGGTCCTTCAGTTGCAAGTGAGTGACATGGCTAAAACTGTTTAAACAGTATCGGAATGAGAGTCCTAACAAGACAATCCAATAGCTCCAGCAAGGGTTGGCAAATGTTTGCGGTGAGTACTATCCTGCTAACATGTGGAGGAAGCCTGGCCCCTAAGTGTTTGCTCAGCGTGCCTGGACTCTATTCGAAGAGGCTTGCCGTTGGAATGGAATGCCTGTCCCTGCCAAGACTGATGAGACTCTGAGGACCGCAAAGAATGGTTATGGTGGGGTGGTTATGGCAAAGAATGGTTTGTGATGGCCTTGTTGCTTATCTCCAGCATCGCATTGCCTTCTTTGATGCTAACTACGATGTGAGGCAGGCCAATACTTTTCGTCACCACCTGGATGGCATTGCCGTCGAGTATGCTCCTCTTGCAGCCCCTCCAGATCAGGAGGGGGATGGTGATCAGGTGCCTTCCATTGAGAAGAGGCAGCAGGGAATAAGAGACTAGCCTGGCCTTTCCCGACAATTCAAAATATCCGATCGCGCGGCATTCCCCAACGCCTCGGCTTCACACCATCACGCTAGTACATTACTATGGTTTTGATAATGAATGCCATGGTTGTTTTATTTAGTCCATTAATTTGTAGTGAAAGTTGGAATCAAAAGCTCATATTTTAACTTCATGGACACCCTTGGAGCATAGCTGGTACTTTTGTTTTGCCGTTGTTTTAGCAATTGCCATTCTATTTCTAGTCAGATAGACCCTTTTATATGGCTCTTTTGAGAGCACTGCCTGTACATTCTTCTTTTATTTATTCTATACAACTTAACATCACTCCACAAATAAGAGTGATCTTCATATCCCAAAGAAAAAAGAAAAAAAGAAAAAGAAAAAAGAAGGACAGACTGGACTCATGGAATTGAATACACCATTTGATGGGTCGAATATCATCAAATAGGATTTTTTTGATTGATTTTATTAGTTTCAAACATAATCATACGATCTATATAGCAATTTCAAATAAGAAAATATTGATTGATGGAGTGTCATGATTATTTTGACATGTTGACGGGAGGTCAGGTATACTCGTAAATGAAATATTTATCTAAGAGTTAAGAGTTTTGTGACATCTTAATAAATAACAAGTTCCTATGCGCCATGAATAACTTTTTACTATATGTTTGAACCGTTTGGCCCACCATAAAAATAAAATTTTGGTTATGATGAGAAATTGCAGAAATTTTACTTGGTCTTAAAATTTTTGATAGAATATAATGGAACAAATGAAAAAATCAAGCTAATTTATTTTTTTATTATTTTTTTTTACATCCAATTAATTCCATAAATTATTCCAATGTCGAAGTTCTGCTTGTCTTGTCCACAGTCCACACCCACTTCTCCTTCTAAGAGTGTTGTGGGACCCAAGCTAATATAAAGGAAAGCAGCTTATATAGCAAAGCGTTGCGTACATAAAAATATACTTGTAATATTAACATGTCATCACTATAATACTAGATTAAATCAATAAATATAGCAGTTGATCGACTTGAATAATTGAGATTAAAAAATATTAATTTCTTTCTGGGAACTTGAAACCTTAACCTCTTTTTTAGTGAGAAAATACCACTAATCTATTTTGTTTGATTATTAATCTAGCTGCTAATTTTATTGGTTCACCAAGTTGAGCCCATTGAGTACGAATCAGGCTCTATCGAGTTTAGTTTGGGTTGGGTCAGGCAGATTTTATGAACATATTTCAATTATTGGGCCTAACCGAAGGTGGACTTGAGTCCCAACAGACGAACCATGACTAAATGATTTAAAATACGGAGTAAAAATATTTTACAAAATACATAAATTTATCTTATGGCCATTAGAAACTCCATAAGAGCTAAAATCATGCCATTAAATAAGTTTGCCCCAATAATTAATAATGCTAAAATTTTATTCAACCTTTTTATGTGTAAGGTCTATTAGATACATGCCTGAGTTACACCTAAAAATCAAATTTTATAATTTTATCAATATTTTATTAATGATTAATTGTTAAAGGAAAGGTGCAAGTCCATCCAGTATATACATTATCTTTCCAACAAAACATAGATCATCATATTTGATCTAATTTTATAAACACAATTTTTAAAAATTCAAGAAATAGTATGTTTTTAGAAAATTATAAAAAACAAAAAAACGTTTTCTTCTTGGTAATTTGCATACTGAAGTGTTTTTTTTTTATTAGAATTAAGAAAAAGAAGAAAGAGAAAAGAAAAATATATACACACACACTATATATATATATATATATATATATATATATATATTCTGAAAAAAGGGGCTAACATCACCTCGCTTAATGGCGGCAAATTTCAAAGGGCAAAAAAGAAATGTGATACAGATATATAGCGATATTCTGAGACTCTGAGTCTTACATTTCTTCAATTTGTGATATATAGATAGGTTTCGATCAGTCCATTCCATCGTAAGATTGAGGAGTTTCTTCACTCACTCTGTAATCAGAATAGCAATGTCGCACATAACTGTATGCGCACGATTCAGACCTCTAAATTCTAGAGAGAGAAGAGATCATGGCGATGCCATCTGCATTCAAACCCTAGATCCTGAAACTTTCAATTTGAAGGTTCTCTTTCTCTACGATCTATTGCTTATTGTTTATATACATACATATATGTGTATGTGTGTATATATATATATGGATGTATGTATGTACGGAAGACATTGAAAATTATGCACAGTTGATATTTGTAGTGATTATGTTGATATGTGGTAGGATGAGAAAGAAGAAGAGTTTACATTCAGCTTTGATAGGGCGTTCTATCAGGAATCAGAGCAAGTCGATGTCTATGAATTTCTTGCTCGGCCGATTGTTCGAGGTATTATCACAATTCACAATATATTTGTATTGTTTTTAGCATTTTTGATCTGATTTCATTTGTGATTTTGAAACGAAGTGGTTTGATTTATCAATTTGAATTTAAATTGGCTAAACCTTACAAGTGCTCCTTTTTTTATTTTTTGGAATGAAGTCCTTTGAATTACCAAATTGAATTTCAATTGGTTAGATCTTAACAAATGCTTTTGTTTTTGTTTGATTTTGTTTATTTCGATAAAACAGACGCTGCTAATGGAATAAATGGGACAATTCTTACATACGGACAGGTAAGATGTACTTAATCTTGTATAGTGTTTCTAATAATGCTTTTCGGTATGTGTTAGCTTTTCTTTGAAGTTTTTGTTTCTGTTGTATATTTTACTTATTCTTGTTGATGGATTAAGATATATAAGACTGTGCTTGAATCATTGCACTATAAACATAAATTTCTACATGAATCATTGTTAAGAATTTGAAAGAAATTATGGTGATTAAATGTGTCAAATTGGTCAGAGGTTGCATATGTTTGCTTTCCAAACAGACTTTGCTTACACAGAATCCACAGCTGTTCAAAACTCATTGTTGAAATATAGATGTGACTGGTTATGGTTGAGAGATGGACATTAACAAATGAATAAATAGGCATGTTGAGGCAAGACGTGGGAATACAAACTTGCTGTCCAATGAATGACCAATACAGGATTAAACTCTAAACTCTACCAGCCACTGAATGCGGTGGGTATGTTCTCGGAAGTGACACTACCTCTAGGAGCTATCTTTACCCTAGCGGTATCAACGCGTAACACTTGGAAATAAGGCCCCAGCAAAGGTACCTTGATTCGAAGTAGTTGTTAACGTCCTCCAATTCTGGACTTTACTTCTCCTTAGAGATCACCGTGGTACTTTAATTGCTAATTTTTTTTTTTTTTATGTCTTAGCATTTGATAATATTCAAGAAAATGCTATTCTTGTATATTGATTTGACACAAAATCCGTCCCACTTAGGTGGGAAGTGCACTTTTGAGACTAAATCATACAATGATTGGCATTTTGTTTGGAATGAGAAAAAGTGATGAGCTCTACGTCAGTTGGGACGGACCATTCACAAATGAAAATGAAGTTGAATTTTATCGCATTGCCTTTGAATTAACTCATTTTTTACTGAAGGATTAAGATAGAAAGCACGAATGGATTATTTTTATGTTAATTGACAAACTCTTCATGTGCATTTTGCCACAGACAGGAGCAGGGAAGACATATAGCATGGAGGTGATGTACTGATTTGATTATTCTCTTCCATATATGATGGTTAGTTGGTTACTTATATCAGGTTAGGCTCATACATAACCTTTTTGGCTCAGGGTCCCGGCATCCTATGTTGTGATGAGCAGAAGAAAGGATTACTGCCGAGAGTAGTGGATGGGCTTTTTGAGGCTACTAAAGTTTCTGAAGAAACATCCAAATACGTGATCAAATTGTCCATGGTATTAGCATAATTTTGTTTATCTTTGCAGCGGAGATTAGCATAGGTTACAAATCAGTGTTAATTACACCCTGTAATTCTTAAACCTTCTTTGTGATTCGTGTAGGTGGAAATCTATATGGAGAAAGTAAGGTTTGTATCACCTAATGGGGTATTTATTTTCTATAATGTGATTATCCTCCAGGTCAAATCTCTGCAGATTATCTAACCAGCGATGCAGAAATTGAATTTAAGGAGCTTCTGGGACGCCATATATTCTTCTTCTTCGTAATATGCTTTTTAATCATGTTGCAGTTCCTTTCTTTCAGGGACCTTTTTGATTTATCAAAGGACAACATACAGATTAAGGAGAGGAAAGCCCAAGGAATATTGTTGTCTGGAGTGACAGAGGTGAGGCTTTATTTTTTTATTTTTTTCTTTTTTCCCTTTCTGAAGTCCTTATACTTAATTTTAGTTTTAATAATATAATATGTAAGTAATATACTATATCTGTTCTTTTGCTACTGTTCTGTTTCAATATAGGCCATGCAGCTTGGGTGATAAAATCTGTTGAGGATTGTACCAAATACCTAGTTTTAAGTCTTTCCACTGGTTTTGAGTGCTTCTTTTCAGGGACAAGCCATATAAACACACACTGAGAGAAAGAAATGTAGCTATTCTTATTCGATTCATCCATTCTAAATCTCATTCACGGGGAGGATGACTTGACCATTTACAAGACCAATGCAATCAGGGACCCAGTCTTTTTCCAAAGTAAATTAAATATCAAGTAACTCTATCACCATGTTATTTGGTGACAAAAATTACTGGGGTGATTGCATAAAGTTGGACTCAAATTCTTTTTGACATCGTTGTGGAATTTTAGTTCAATGAAAGTTATTCTGTGCTTTCTCACATCCAAAAGCCTATAACTTTTTTCTTCTTTCCAGATCACTGTATTGGACCCTGCAGAAGCATTTAAAAGCCTATCTGTAAGATAACTTCTTGAGAAGTTCTCTTAGTTTTATCCCACATAGTTGGTTTTCTGAAATAAACATTGACAATGCAGAGTGGAATAGCTAACAGAGCAGTTGGAGAGACCCGTATCCTTCATTGTGTTTTTATTTCAATTGTATACCTCAATTATATAGGCCATTAGATTTCAAATTTTGTGTAAACTTGAACATAAATAGAAATGAATATGGCCAGTAGTAGAAGTCATTGTGTTTACATATTCACAGTTCAGCAGGATTTAACAACTGATAATAGGTATTCTTTCATACTAGATTTAGTTTGTGGATTCAGATGAATTAGTCTAAAAAATTGTTGGAAGTGTGAACAGGGCGAAAGTTGGTAAGTTGATTCTTGTGGACTTGGCGGGGTCTGAGAAAGTTGAGAAGACAGGAGCTGAAGGGAGAGTTCTTGAAGAAGCCAAGACCATCAACAAGTCACTTTCAGCCCTCGGGAATGTAATAAATGCTTTGACCTGTGGTACTCCAGGCAAAGCAAATCACATTCCATATCGTGATTCTAAGCTTACTCGCATTCTACAAGATGCTCTTGTTAGTTTCCTTCCCCCTGGTTTCTCTCACTGTCTCACTTTTGATTTGTATGTACTCACTGGTTCTCATCTTACAGGGAGGGAACTCCCAAACTGCATTACTGTGCTGTTGCTCTCCGAGCTCTTCAAATGCATCAGAAAGCCTATCCACTCTTCGCTTTGGTGCAAGGTATGTCAGTCCAAGTATTTTATATGTATACTGTTTCAGTGGTTTGCAACATGAAATTGAAAGAGTTTGATGTCTGTGGATCTGCAATCTTCATATTCATTTACGTGATCGTCTTCCTCCTTCCTCAGATTCGACGAGAATAAAGTCATTCTAATGATGGCACTTTTAAATTAAGATTTTGCAACAAAAGGTTAAAAGGAGATTTATGAACTTCTCATATTGTTGTGTTCTCTTTAGTGTCCAAAACTTCTCTACATCATACTTTTTAGTAAAAACTTCCCATGTACAAATGAAACCGTAAGGGATAATTTGTTCACTATTTGGGCAGAGCAAAGCATATAAAGGCATCACCTCGTGTCAATTGCAAGGAAGATAATAAATGCACCAAGATGCAAGGAGTGACCTCTCTGACTAAAAATGAGTCTTGTGAGAGAATTTTATCCAAGGTTAGATTAAAATTGTGAATTTCTAGGAATGAAGTTTATGTTTTAATCTCTAAGCACTCTACTTTTATTTACACAGCTGAGGGAGAAACTGGATATCGAAGATGTGAAGTTACTTGAGGAATTGTTTATATTGGAGGGTATTTTCTTTGATCCCAGTTTGGTGGAAAACTTGGAATCAGCTTACGAGGATGTTACCATACGGACAATTGCCTCATTGCAACAAGCTGTGGAAGAGCTTGTCATCACTGTTGAAGAGGTGAGAGGAAAAATTCAGATGCTTAGGAACAGTTATATAGAATTATTACTTACATATAACACTAGAAAATTAATTGGTGGTCTCTTTCATGTCTCAAAAAAACAAATAAATAAAATAAATAGTAGTAAAAATAACAAGATGGAAGCTGAAACATATTGTTGATTGTTGTGAGTTTTAACCTCAAACATGGTGGTGACTTTCAGCACCAAGACCATTTCCAACCCGTTTCTCTAATGGAACTGTGGAAGTGGTCCAAATTTTATAATCTTAGAACATAATGTAGAAGGCTGCCTTTGTGTGTGTGTGTGTGTGTGTCCCCCAGTTTAGTGTGTCATTATTCTTCTACAGAACTGCTCCTACGAACACTAATTTTTTTTTTTGCTTTCACAATGAGTTGAAATCTTAGATAGGAGGATTGAGACATCATTTGTATCCAATTAACTCATTCTGAAGTGTTGGGGTTTTAATTTTTACAGTTTAAGAGAGAGAACAAAGTTCTGAAGGAGAAACTGGAAGCTGTTGAAATATCCGACAGACTTCACAAAGAAGCTGGAGAAAATGTAAGCTTTTTGCATAGGATTTCAGAAATTGGTTTCTTCATCCCCTGGCTTGGATCATTTTTCATGTCAAGAGGGTGAAAAGAGAACTGTTCAACCACAATAATTTCGTTCTGTAGTTCTAACCCTACATGACAGAATCGCATTATTGTTCATGATTAGAGGGGGGAAAAAAAAAAAAAAAACTGAATAAAACTAAAGAAAATGAGATACAAATTCTGTAAGTAATATGTATAGATACTATTCCACTGTCCATCTACATTGCTCCATTAGTAGGTCATCTCTTGAATTCTGCATCATTTGATCCAATGGTCAATTGAAGTCATTGAGCACATTTAGTGGTTCTATGCTGGTTGCCCTGAATGATATTAATGTGCATCATTTTGCTTCTAGGAATTGTGATTGATGATCATATGATGATATGAATAATTTAATAGCACAAGCTTTTACAGTTTCATTCCAGTTAATAGACAAGGAAGGGTATGGAAGGACTAGACTCATCAACTATACATCTTCATATGATGACTTTTGATGCAAAAATTTGAGATTTCAAAGTTCATATTTTGTGGCCTTTTGTGTTAGCATCTATATGCATAGACTGCAACCAGGTGGTTTGTTCTTGTTTGTGAACTAAGCAATATCTACTGTTCCAGAGTTCATATGAACGAGCTGAAAATGAGGTAAGCGGACCTACAAGAGTGTAAAAATGTATTACAAAGAAACCCGAACATTAGTTTTGATTGGATTGGGTCACCAAGCGTCAGATGGTCTAGGACTATCTAATAATTTCTCGAAAATGAATAGGCTTGTTTTTCTGAGTTCATTGAGTTTGGCTCTAAAATAACTTGTGTAAAACAGGTGTACATTACTCATCATGATGATGGTAATTTAAGTTTTTGTCTGTAACCTCGACTTTCTTTGTACTATAATCTCGTGATGTTGGTAATGAAATCTTTTGTTTGCAATCTCAATCAATAATGGGCTTTCAATTATTGTCATTCCAAAAATGATAGGGGGTATGGATTCCCATTTGGAAATAATTTTTTTCCAACTCGTTGCATAATCGATGATCATATCTGCTATATGTCACATGAATACTGCATATGACAGCAGCTGCTTAACAACTGTTTGTTTGTTTTTAATCAGTTAGCTGCTACCTGGGCATCTTGTCCTGTCGTGTCCACTGCTTGAAAGCTCTAGTAATTTGGCCCACAAAATTGACCTTGCTTACTCATTCCAGTTCGCTCTTGTGATCAATTGGTAAAAACTTGTGGAAACTAGGCCCAAATGTTCTTTATTTATATATATTTTTTGTGTGATAGTGGTGTCGAGCTTCTTAAAGCACTCCTGTAATCTCTTCTGTCTCACATGTACCGAAAAAATATATTTGGAAAGACCTCGTGGAAAAAAAAATATTTGGTGTGACCTCGTGGTGGTTCGATTCGACCCGGATGCTGTTGAAATAATTTTGGAATGGGCTTTTCTGCATTGGGATTTAGTTGTCATTTTTCCAAATGGAAAGGGCATTGATGGTATTCCAGAAATTTTTGGAGTAATGCACCTCTTTTCCTAGATATGCAAAACAAGCCTCGGGTTTGCCATCCTTGAAAGCAATGTCCAATATTTGCTTGGAAAATGGATTTCAGATTTGGTCCCTTTTGTCTTTTAGATTTCAAATATTTTTTAATATTCCCAACTTACCCATCGACTTTACTTTTAAACCCAAACATGTCCCCCCTCTCTCTCTCATACACACACATACATTTATTCTTCTAATTAATTGACTTGTTGCAGAAACTAGTAAGAAACATGCTTTGATTGATTAAAGCAAATGTGCCCCCTCTCAGTCCACTTCAACATAGTAGATCAGTGTTAATTGAGCCACGTAATGCATTAAAGGATATATTGGTATTTTTTTTTTTGTGACTTCAATTTTTTGGCTTTCCTCAACCTAAAGCAAACTTTCACTATACACAACCCACCAGCCTCCTTATATTATGAGGCACAAAAAGAAGCTGGTGGGTAACTAACACAACTGCAACCTAGAAACTCCATTTCCCACCAGAAATGGCTTCCAAAGCCTCCTCTATCCTCCAAATCCTCACCTTTTTTTCCATCTTCTTTTCTCTTTCCAATTCCATTGACTTCAATTACCCTGCGGTCTTCAACTTCGGCGATTCAAATTCCGACACAGGCGACCTTGTGGCCGGAATGGGTGACCTCCTTCTTCCTCCTAATGGACAGACTTTCTTCAAAACACCATCCGGGAGGTTCTGCGATGGCCGGTTAATCGTAGATTTTTTAAGTACATTTCCTATCATTTATTGAAGATTTGTCATTCATTTAGAATATGAACTCCTTAAACTGCTTTCAATGTTTCCAAATTGAAGTACTTAATCCTTTGTTTGCTATATAGTTCAATGTAACATGTTCACTAATCATAGATGTTTTTGAGTATTGAATTTACATTTACTGCAAATTTGTTATCTTATTTTAGGATATGAACTCCTTAAACTGTTTCAATGTGTCCAAATTGAAGTACTTTAGTCCTTTTTATGATATATATATATGTGTATATATATATATATATTTTCCCCCCTAGATTAATGCTATAGAGTTCAATGTAACAGTTTTACTAATCATAGATGTTTTTGAGTATTGAATATACGTTATGTTTTTGTGATTTTCTTTGTGGGTCTGGGTTATAGTGGATGCAATGGACCTGCCATTTCTAAATGCCTATTTGGAAGCCATTGGCTTACCTAGTTTTCGAAAAGGCTGCAATTTTGCTGCTGCAGGGTCTACTATACTTCCGGCAACTGCAAACGCTGTGAGTCCATTTTCGTTTCGGATTCAGGTGGCTCAGTTCATGAGATTCAAGGGCCGTGTTCTCCAACTGCAGAGTCAAAGTAATTATTTTGATCGTCTATGACTGTAATTTGTTGGATCCAAATGTTAGAATTATTAACCAAATTTTCGTTGCCATTTTTTACTTTGTTGCAGCAAAAAAATATAATAAGTACCTTCCTTCAGAAGATTATTTTGGGAAGGGGCTTTACATGTTTGATATAGGACAGAATGATATTGCTGGTGCCTTCTATTCCAAAACATTTGATCAAATTATTGCTTCAATTCCAACAATTTTGCAAGAATTTGAAGATGGAATTACGGTCAGTTTAAGTTGCACACATGAATATAATTGAATAACCTCATGATTGTTCTTCTTTTTTTCTAAGAACAGTGTCTTTAGATATGAAAAAAATGAATTTCTCACACTCCTTTGTTTGTGTGTGTGTTTTGTGTTCCGTTTTCTCAGGAATTATATGACCAAGGGGCAAGAAATTTTTGGATTCATAACACAGGTCCTCTAGGTTGCTTGCCTCAGAATGTTGCCAAATTTGGGACTGATCCATCAAAGCTTGATGAGCTAGGTTGTGTCAGCACGCATAACCAGGCTGCTAAGCTTCTCAACCTGCAACTTCACGCGCTCTGCAAGAAATTGCAGAGCAATTATACGGATGCAAACATTACACACATTGACATCTTCACCATAAAATCTAACCTCATCGCGAACTATTCACGATATGGTTAGTATGTCCCTGTCCACTGCATTATATAATATACTCTTATTGCATATCAACAACTTAGATTTCAATGAAACTGCAAAAACTGAATGTGTTTTTTGTATTGCAGGGTTTGAACAACCTACAATGGCTTGCTGTGGATATGGAGGTCCACCATTGAACTATGACAGTCGAATCGCCTGTGGACAAACAAAAGCTCTGAATGGTAGCTCGGTGACAGCCAAAGCGTGCACCGACAGTACTGAATATGTTAACTGGGATGGAATTCATTACACAGAGGCTGCAAACCAGTATGTCTCATCTCAAATACTCACCGGCAAGTTTTCTGATCCGCCATTCTCAGAACAGATGCCTTTTCTTCTCAAGCTCAAGTTCTAAGGACCACCCTATTATGCTTATCATTGTTTTATTCTTTTATCAAATGTGTTAATGTCTACTGATATTGCAAGCTACCAATGAATTCTGAGTTAGACAAATAGTTAACCGCGTGACTTGAAGCTAGAGATGTGGAATTGAACATTTTTTACTCTTTTCTGCTAACCTAACTGCTTACTGGAGATCTTTACTTGCCATAAATACACATTTTCAGTGTGGAAAACATTATAGATGTGGAGTTCTATGGCTCTGATCACCGGTGCAACATGATCTGCAAAGTTCATCTCTAAGCTTTTTTATAGTCATACTCTTAAATTCGAAGAAATGGTACAATTATTATATGAAAAGAAAAAAAAAATCAACTTATTTCTGGTGCGCACACTAAACATAGAATCCAAAATTCCATATCCATCCTTTGATAGCCTGTTTCTCATCAAATATTTGCTATAAATGACCATTTGTACAATGATTTTTACATGTTCCTCCAAAGTCCATGATAGAGGCATAATTTTAATACAACAGTTAAACTCACTTCTTGGAGACATAAGCATAGTATTGTGCCATAGGAACAACAAATGCAATCACTAACAATCCTCCAACCACAAGAGTGAATTGTCCCCTTTTCTCATCTGTCTCCTCCCTGGATTTGAAGTTGGATTCTCGTTTGTTTTCCTGGAATGAGGGGCCACCAGGATCTGGAAGCCCATCAATGGCAGCGACTAGCCGTTTGGCACTGCTATAAAGTGCTTCATTGTACTTTTCTTCCGTTGCTAGGACTGCAATTACAAATGCAATATCTCATCATCACATCTACAATATCCTAAGTGAAACTCTACTGCTACACATGCAAGAAAATCAGAAACTTTTCTCCTAGAGATCGTCTGGTTTGTTCACTATCGAGTCTTCCAAACTAGTGAGTGGTGAACAGTATCTGTAACTACAAATATGTAAGGGTAAGTTTTCCATCCAAACTACACATTCCAATGGATTCAAGTGTTGAAATTGAAATATAGCAGCTAAGTTCAAGACTGCTCAAATTTGTTCGACTTTGTGGTTTTTGAAGTCTACAAACGCAACTATTAGAAAGAGAAAGCTTTATTGTTTAGTAATGGCCTGAATCCAAATAAAAACTTTTTTTCTGTTTCTTGGAAATATGACACAGTTGTTCTAGGAGAACAAAAGGATATGTTATGTAGATATCCCTTGACATCATATGCTAGTATGGGAAGAGCTTACTAGGTAAAGCCGCAGCATACAAAGATTGTTCATGGGTATTACAATAAGTACTGCTGCTCTGCTTATGAATATAAAAAGTTTCACATATCATCAACCACAAGCCTTTAGTGATGAATGTAGTTCTTGACAACTCAATAGAAGACCCACTGGAACAATCTAACAATTCAACTCAGCTAGATCGACCTCAGTATTCAAGAAGTTCTACATTTACAACCTACTTAGTAGTATGCATAGACATCCTTCCAACGTGTTCCAATTGAGCCATTGGATCAGAGCTAACCAAATAACCACTCTTAACCTGAGAAATAATTCTGGAAGTGAGGCACAATTAGCCCATTTCCTTCCCTCCCCAAGAAAAAGTACAAAAAATCAAAGGTCTTATGAGTGTCTGGAACATGTCATTTGAAGTTAGAATTTAGCCTGTGTGTCATTGATGGGCTTCATTGTTTCTACTAGCATCCTCTAGAGAAACTAAAATTTTAGTTAAACACCTCTGATCAACCTTCCTTTTTTCTTTCTTATCTCTACCAGTCTTGAAACATCGAACTGTGCCTTGGAAGTTAAAACCCAAAGCCACCAAGGCAGAGGTAGATCGCTACCTCTGATCAACCTTCATTCAAAGGCAGTACTGCAGTACTATAACTTGATTTTTTTTCCATTAGATTATCCCCAGCAAAATTGTCAAAAAGCAAATCTAAGGTAGATTGCTACTGGAAAAAGGACCGTACCATCACAGCATGCAGTGAACCAAAATCCCTTAGGAAACTCATATGAAGTAGTCAAACTAAAAAATAAAGTTTGTTAAAAGTTCCAGCTTCCGTTTCGCACAGCAGCCAGGATTTCGAACTCAATACATCACCAAGTGATGCCATAGTGTTAAAAACATCTGTACTACAAAAAACTATGAAATGATGCAAGTTTTGTTCAGTTTCTGTTATATCTCTCTTGTTCGGTAGCTTAAACTTTGGCCATGTAAAATCATATTATTTCCCTCACAGAGCAGAGTGTTGTAGTTTCGGTAGGACTAGAGAAGAGTTGAATTTTCTAGCCAGGAACTGGTTTTATGATCTTTAGGCAGTGGGTTGCAGGCTTATTTAGTAGCATTCAGTACAACATAAGTTTTTGTATAGTAGCTCCCTCATAGGTTTAGTCTTTGTACAACAAATAATCTAATTTAAAAGGTAATGTTATGTTCGACATGCTCTCTCAGATAATGCTATCATCATCAGGGTTAGTAGCAATGCATTGTTTCAATTAAAATACGCGCTTCTCGGAATTCGAGGTAGTCAAAACCATAAGCTTACAGATGAAAATATTCCCTTACCAATTATATATATATAAATGGAGTTTTTGCTGATAAAATAGAAAAATGATCGCACTTTTTAAACTGAGAAACCAAATGGGATAGTTACCAGGAAGGTTCTCTGATACAGTGGCATCAAGAATGGTATCTCCTACAGCTTTGACAAATTCAGGGCCACCTGTGACTGCCCCTTCTTTTTGACTAGTAACAAGCACTACAATGCCCTTGTTGTTGCCTTCTTCAACTGAGGGATACCAACGCTCCAAAACTTGGTCAGCATACTCAAAAGCATCAGCTTTGCTCTGCAAGCAAAGAACATGTACAACTCTCAAAACCCAATTTGCTAACCTTAAATTCTTCTGCCCTTGAATTTCATATCTTATCTTTAAGGATTAACCTACATTAACATACATACATACTAACATACATATATATAGGGCTAGTCTAGGGCACGAGGCTCTCGTTACTGTGGGGTCAGGGAGGGTCAGATGTACGCAACTTTACCTCCGCATGTTTCCAATTTTGAACCCATGACCTCTAGATCACAATGAAGCAATTGTACTGTTGCACCAAGGCTCACCCTCATTAGACTACCAATTACCCTAAAGCTATGTTCAGTTGCATGAAATTGAAGAAAAAATAGTTCAAACTCATCATAAATGTAAGTGCAAACTTGCCCAACAAACTGGGAAACAATGCAACATGGAGAATTGAAATCAACACCTCCCATAATCAAAGCTCTGATATCATGTTAGACTATCTATTACCAAAAGCTTAAGCTGTTAATCAATAGACCCGACATTTGTAAATAAATCTCAATACACATATAAACAAACATTTATCCAAAAAAAAAAAATATAAACAAACACTTGGTATGCACTGACTTACAGTGAGCTTGCGAACAGTGATGAAATTAACGTGGAAGTTCTTTCTCGACTCTAAATCCGATAACAAACGCTTCAAATCGGATTTTGTCACCCGACTGAGCACACCTGCATCGTCAATTACATACGATTCTTTGGGCGGCCCATCGTTTAGTACATCAAATTCAGATGCTAATGCAGAGCTACTGGGCAAAATTGGGCAGAAGTTGAGTGCTAAAGAGAGAGCTAGAGCTGCCAATCCATGGCGTGCGTGAGAAAACCAGCTTGTGGGTATTGGAAAAGACTGTTTGATTGGTTTAGAAGATTCAATTTTGAGGTTAGAACAAATGGGTTTGGTGAGACATTGTGAGTTTGATCTGGGTTGGAGAGGTGGAGAGAGAATGGTCTTTGAAGATGGAGTTTTGGGATTGAGGAGAGGACAGAAAGAGTGAGGAGAGAGAATGGTTTCCATGAGAGAGAGAGAGGAAACAACAGATCAGCAATGGTATGATACGAAGGGATAGAAAACTGTTTTCTTCTTCGTCTCCTGTCAATCTTTTTCAGTTTTCTGTTTGGTTCAGATTTTTTGGGTGGCTTGGATATCTTGATCTGGATAACGTCTACGTTAGCCGTGGAAATACAGAAGGGCATTTTGGTCCGTCAAAATTATAACATCCAATTAAGAGGTTGAGAATTTAGAGGGTGTATATATATATATATCAAAAGATTCAAAACCACATCTATTGTTTCAGAAAATATCAATTACATCCTTAAGGTTATATATGTCAGACCAATCATACTTTAGTTTTTCGTACTCTAAGAATTAAAAATTAGAAACAGTTTTTAAAATTTAATTAAAAATAGACTATTTTTTATAAATTTTAAAGTAATTTTTAAATTTTTTTTAGAATTGTTTTTAAAAAATTGAACCATATAAATTCACATTTTTAAAATATCTATCTTTGAAGATCTTTTTTAAAAAATATAATTTAATTATGAGTCCCACACGTTACTGCATTAAAACTTGCACCCTCATATTCTATCATAAAAGGTTTAAAAAGTATCACTATAATTCTTAGTGCCAAATGTAATTTAAAATATATATATATGATTTTAATACAAAAATATTTATGATTCAGTTGCCTCACCCTTCCACAAAATTTCATTGTTTCTACTTTGAAAATGAAAGACATAAAAACAAAAATGATAATAGTGGATAAATGTTCAAATAGACCCTTATGGACCTTTGACTACACAAGATGGAAAAGAAACCGGCCAAAATGTTTGTCACCAATAGTTGTTGAAATGACTAAAACTACCCCTAACATTTTAGAAAATACCAAACTTCTGTTCTTGAGTCTTGAAACAAAACCTTACCATCTCGTCCCCACCTTATCTACTCCAATGCCAGCCATGAATGCTCTCTCTACCCAAAATTCCCTCAAAACACTCCCATCACCCACAAATCTCTCTCTCTCTCTCTCTCTCTCTCATAAATATATATATATATATATATATATATATATATAGTTTGGATGATTTATATAATTAGTAGAGAAGTGGAGGTTCTGGTATATGTATGGACCGATGGTTGTGTTATGTGATCTTTTAACTTATTTAATATAGAATGTATAAGGATAAAGGAAGAGAGATGATTACAAATGTTTTAGGAATTAATAACTCAACTAAATATATATAGTTTGGATGATTTATATAATTAGTAGAGAAGTGGAGGTTCTGGTATATGTATGGACCGATGGTTGTGTTATGTGATCTTTTAACTTATTTAATATAGAATGTATAAGGATAAAGGAAGAGAGATGATTACAAATGTTTTAGGAATTAATAACTCAACTAAATCCAAATTAAACAAATGGTCACCAACTTTTTTTCATTTTTCATTTCAAACTTCAATATTACAAAGGTGGACCAATCAAAGTTCTTGTTTTTTAAGAAGATTTTTGTTCAACTGATCCAATCAAATTGGCTTAGAAACATTTACTCAAAACTCGACAATATGTGTCTGTTGACCAAACTAAATTCAAAAAATATCATGAATTATTACTCTTAGATAACAAAGGTCCAACTTATAATTCAATTATCACACTTTTAAAATCTCAATTCTTGAAATTCATAATCATTTTTGATTGGCTTTGAAGCGGCAATATGTCAAAATAGTTTGATCAACTCTTTTTTATCTAGCTGTATAAAGTCTGATCGTAAAAATATTAGGAGTTAGTAGTTAGAGAAGAACGTATAAGACTTCAACACGCTCTCGAACGCGAAGAGCAATTCAAACACTCAAACAACACGACACTCGCTTAAATTTATGACCTTGATAATTCAATTATTTAAATTTATTTTTAGAAGTAGAATTTATTGATGAGAAACAAAATTAGTACTCCATTGTAGCATGCAAGCATAAACAAAGGCTATTGAACCAATCATGCCATAGAGCCCACTCACAATCCACCACTTCTACCCCGCAAGCCCATTGCTCAATTTTTGGACTCCTGAATTACATTGCCGAGGGCACAAACTGAAGGCACACCCATTGTAAATATGCAATAAATTATACTGTGGTGTCGATTGGCATAGTTTTTGTTTTCGCTTTTATACATGAGAAAAAAAAAATTATCACTTTCATTTGACTTATTTGTTAATATTTGAAAATTATATTTTAAAAGAATTTTTAATATTAGAAGAGTTTTTACAACCGAAAACTAGAGGTGACAATTCGTGTTCACCAGTCAGAAATTAAATTCAGAGGAGGGCACAATGTTAAAAAAAACAAAAATCAATAATTACGACAGTAAATATAGATTCTATAACTCAAGAGATAGAGAAGAAAAATTACTCAAAATAATATGTCATGAGTAATTTAATAAAGATAAGCAGTTAACAAAAAATTTAAAAATAAAAGAAAAATGAGAGAATTTTGAAAGGGAAATATTGGAGTTTGATTTAAAAATTTAAAAGGAAATTAAATGAATTTAAAGAGTAAAAAATAGAAGAAATACAAAATTTAAGAGATAATTTTAGAAAATAAAATTTTTAGGATGAGCATTATATGAATTTTTTCATATATACATGTAAAAATATATAAACTTAGTACATATATTATATAGTAAACGGGGACAAGCCAGGAGGCAACGTGCCCCTGAGCATACACTGCCTCCACCCCTGGTGTTCGCGAATCATAATCGTGTCGTGTCGATATAAGGATCTTATACTAAACAACTAAATCTGAACACAACCCATTTAATAATCATGTCAGGAACACTCAATACTAACCCGACCTGTTTATTAAACAAGTTACACGTGTAACCCATTTAATGACCTATTTACTGAAACAAAATATTATATTATTTAAATTATTAACAATATTCAACCAAATAATAAATACTAAAAAAATATATAAGTTTTAATACAACAAAATTACTAAATAATCTTTAATTTACAAAAGAATAAATTATAAGACACAAATTTAGATAGTTATTTTGAAACTTAAATAGAAATTTGTTTATAACGTATAGTTAAACAGATTGAAACTCTCAACCTAAATAATTAACTAAACGGATTAATCGTATCGACTCATTTACGATCCAAACTCATATAAAGTCAACCTAAATCTATTTAATTTGTATAATATTAATGAATCATGTCAAATTTTGTCACCCTTACCGAAACCCAAAAGACCCCATGGTAAGCAAAGAAGTTGTTAACTTTTAGGGTTAATTTCACTGACACCCCCAAGTTTGGCCAAATATCACTCTAAAATAACTTTCGAAAATTACTATCACTTAGGTTCAATTTTACTATTCCGTCACTAACACCGTTAAAAACGTGCGAAAAGACAAATCTACCTTTATTTTTAAAATTCATTTTAAGCTAAAATATTAACAAATTTAAAAAGACAAAATTGCCCCCAACAGTTTCTCTCTCTAAAATATATATGTGTATATATATATATATATATACAAATAGGCTCGGTGGCCTTGCACCAGCAACAATGAAGACGGTGATGACGACAATGACGGCGACGGCGACGGAGCTACTCCAAAGATGATGAAGACCAGCAACGATGCCGACTAGGTTTTATCTGAAACAATCATTCCCACAAACAAAAACCCAAATCGACGTTGACACTGTCAAAATCGCAGTCGACGGGGCCACCACCACCCCCTACACCGGCGCTGCTACCACTACCATCCCAACCCCGACAGGCAGCCAAAATTCCCCTCTCTCTCAACCACAAACGACCACCGGCCACTTCCAAACCTAGGGGTTGTGATATCTGTTTGAAATTATAAAAAAAAAAGTCTGAAAGGAGCATACTAAACCTATTCTGAAATACTTCCGGGTAAAGATGAGACTCTAAATTACCGTTCTGAGCATCAGCTTATGAATCACCAGAAAACAATGCCACTCTAAGACTCTGCAATACAAAACAACAGATTGAAACAGAACAAAATCTAATTCCGGAGAAAAAATGAATATACATCTATATAATAAAATCCCCAGCTAGATCCTTTCAAAATTAAATTAGTCATTTAAATAAGGGAATTAAAACATTTTTTCCTATCTAAATTAATTGCCAAATTGGATGTAAATATGGATCTTAAAGAATAAATGTAATCAGAGATCTGAAGTCATAAACACATAGATATAGATAATACAGGCATATATATATATATATATATATAGAGACAAAAAGAGATTGTTACTTCAGCGGCTAGCACGACCGCCATATAAAATGGAGGAACGGTTCCGGCTGGAAATTGCAGACTGGCCTTCACGAACCGCCTCTAGGCAGTCTGCATCTCTCACCTATATTGAGAGATATTTGTTAATTATTGGTCTCAATTTTTTCTTTTATTGAATTAGTTTATGATTGATTGGTTTGTGTACGAGAGATTAATTACTAAATTGGTTTTTTTTTTTTTTATTTCACAATTGGGTTATCTGATCTCCACAACCTCCACTGCCGGCGTGGGTGAGAGGGTTTGCAGACAATGTGAAGGGAAAAGAGAAATGTGCGTGAGAGATGAATGGGTTGGTTTTTAAAATTACATAAATACCCATAATTTTTATGAGGTGACAGATTTTAGTGGGGGTAGTTTTGTACAATAGCTTTTCCATTTATATATATATATATATATATATAATTGTAAATTGAAAAACATTTAAGGATAATATAGTCTTTTAATCTAGTTTTATAGGTCAAAGAACCATTTTGATAAAGTCAAAGGGTATTTTAGTTAATTTATATGGTGTCAGAACTCTGCATATAACGGTTGGGGTATGAGTGAAAAACGGAACAAACACTTATAATATGAGTGATAGTAATTTTCAAAAGTTATTTTAAAGTGATATTTGACTAAATTTAAAAAGATGTCAATGAAATTAACTCTAATTTTTAAAAGCCAATCGGGCCATACCGACCACTCCGGGGCTCTCCAATCTGCTGGCGAATGGCCCAATGGAGATGGCTTTGATCCCTCACCAGATCAAAAGCAATCACGTGTTTAATGAGCAAAGTGTTGACAGCATAGTCTCTTTAATAAATAGATTGTTTAA